CCGATCCTCCAATGATTTTACGGTGAACCGTGTTTTCGAGGAATGAATCGCAAGCCTTCAAATTCTCTGATCCTCGACCCAATTTCTTACCCAGCTGGGTCAGAAATTTCACATTTCACCAGCAGTGGGATCCACGATCGCTCCAGAAGGTTGTACGTTCTCCAAAGCAGATTAAAATGCGCGGGAACTTACCGTAGATTAATGATTTAGTCGAAGATCTATGCATTTAACCACGAAGAATCTGTAACTATCAGGTCAACCCATAATTAACGCGAATTTTCTTTGACGTTTGTTAAAGGTGAAGTACAAACTTGTAATTAAAGGTATTCATCTTCTACCTGTATATATTTTCCTTCATTTTCTACAACATTTCACCATCCTCCATACCTACTTCGTTTCAACACCAACTTCCAGTTTCCCGTCCACAAACATCAAAGAAAATTCGCATTACTTATGGGATGACTTGATAATTGATATGGACGTATCAATCTTCCACATAACTTTAACACTAGAATTACTGACGATAAACGTATACCTGTTTCTATCAGATCAATAAAAATGACATAGTTTTGAAAATATTCCAAGTTTTAAATTAACTAATTTCTTCACTTTGATATCGTAATAAAAGTTGTAGAGGATCTGAAAAAATGTCTTCTTGTAACATTTTAATCATCATTGTAAATAATGTACTAACTAGTTATTTTGACTGTTTTGGTAGTTCTAATGTCAATAGCTGGAATATAAAAATCTGAATAATATCAGACAAATCGGAGATATAAATAAATAATGTAATTTCATTTGCTGCTGGATTCTATTCAATTTTCTTACGATTTTCTCAGATATAACCTTGGGTTTTTTTTACTATACACATGCAACGAATATTATTTATGGAGCAAGGAGGTAGTTTCACCAATTAGTCGTACAGCTTTGTTACAAAAGTACTTCAATTCGCTTCTTCAACTACGTGTGTCCAATTCAGCTCCTCCGAAGTATACCAAGCAAACGGGACACGCGACTTTCCATGTTTCCTCCCGTGATCGCGAGTAAACATTCGACAATGAAAGATTCGGTAAAGAACAATACGATCGATGCAGTAATCCTCCTCTGGAATAATAATACGGGAATGACGTTTACCAGAATTAATTTGCACGGTTCCGTGGGTTTTGATTCAAATTGTAATCGCCTTTCGGAATATCTCACCACATTTTAAGACAGCTGGTTAAAAGCTCCCTGGACCGTATCGTTTTCCCGTAACTCAAGCAGCTCGGATGAATCATTTTCCCATAACTCAGCGTCAGCTGTCTAGGAATACGATAGAAAACGATCGTGGTGCAACTGAGAAGCAGATATAATAATTTTGCGTGAAGAAGCAAATTGAAAGTATATACAATAAAATTCGTTTATAGGAAGTATGGTTCACGAGAGAATTTCATTTGAAGAATTCAGTTCGAGTATGATTGGCTAATGTATCTGGCTACTGTTCGCCACATTTACTTATACTGAACGTTCATATCATAACTGTACTATTACAGCGAGGGAAGGAAGTATTTGTTTTATTGGCGATTATAATTATCAATTCAGAGTGCTGTTTTCAGTATACTACTAACAAGGGAACTTAGGTGTATACCCGAAAAATTCCGATTTTTTTTAAACACCACAGATTTGTAGGAGGCCTCAATAAAAGCATTAGGCAATTTTTCGTTTTCGTTGATATTTGGTTTTTCAGGGTGAAACGATCCCTTAAAGGTTAATGAAGTTTTTTCTCAATTGTCCTGTATATCTTGAAAATTATAGTTGTTATCAAAAACTATTAGAGTGAAAATTGAATGGCTATCTATTAAATTTACAGAAATACTCGGACACTTGTTATGCTTAGAGAACTTTTCATGATAATCCTAATTTCTAAATATGTATTTGTGAACGTAATACTGATTTCTTATTCTAATCTTTGTAGCATAATTTTACTAATAGTAAGAACAAATGGTTCGACATACGGTAATTGACAATATTTCATTATAAAAAAAAATGTCAGTGCACGAAATATGAAATCTTTTACGACTTAAATTTGTAAAGTGCCTGAATATTTTTTACATCAAAGTTCGCTCTTTTTTGGTTCCTCTTATATTATTTAAGCAACCGTATGCAATAAATCAACAGTTTTTTTCTTATTTTCGTTACTCGTATATTTATTCGAAATATACAGCTTAGAAGAGAAAATAATAATGGTGTCCGAATATTAATGCGAGTGACTGTATGTAGAGATCAAATCCTTAATCTCATATTTCTCGAAAAAGAAAGCTAGTATGAAAAACATTTATTGTATACTTTATCGTTCTTTTCGATCGTAGAAACACCTTCTCGACTCCACCACGATTTATTGTACACCTTATGCGCGTGTTTCTGAACCGAGCAACTCGATTCAGCTTTGCACAATGAGGCATCATCTCAGTCTTCTGGCCTCTAGGCATCTTCGATGGATCTCATATCGTCTCGTGCCACTTCTCCCCAACCCTTCATCATCGCGTTTCATGTATCAACCATATGCTAGTTTCACAATGGCCCTTCACATCGCCGATGGACACGATCGTCCTGTAATAAGCGACGAATGTCGACCTCTCTCGCCTCTGACCCCAGCAATCATCCTTAGTCTCGGCCAATTGCGTAATCGTGAATGCATGAACGTACGTCGTGGAAGTGCTATCGATTAGCCTATTGATTTCGTGGCAAACGCCGGAGTTTTCCGGACCAGCACAGAGAGATGGTATCGCGGTTGTAACGGAACGTTGTCCTGCGGGGAGCTGAATGGCTCGAAACCGGTACATACAATCGAGGCTCTTCGTTTTTTACGTTTTTGAGTTTGTCTTGAAACTCTATTGTATATGATGGATATTGACATTAGTAATTGTTCATCGGAAATGTCTGTCGTTTGTGAAACATAAAGTTGTTGGGTAAATGCAATGTTTTAATATACACTGCTCAAATGAATTAAAGGATCGCTAATATGGGTGATCCTGTTACACCCATGAAACGAAAGAAGCAAAGCAAATGCTATATATTTAATAAACTAGCTAAAAGGAGGACGCCTTAAAGAACTCGCATATAGGGTTTGGGCAGTTAAGAGACAAAGTTATTTATTATTCATTTCAGGTATTATTGATTTATATGTTAATGAAATTGTTTACCACAAATTGTTACACAGATTAAGTCCCAGATCAAGTAAAAATGCATAGTTGCCAGTGAGAAATTGAAGGGTTAATTTTTGTTAAAGGGGTGAACTTATTTATAAATTGAGCACATCTGCAGGTGGTATAGAATACATGGGGGAAGTACTATTATTTTTTAATATCAAAGATAAAAAGAGCAGTATTTACACTTTAAAATGAGAGCTATTATGTTCTAAAGATGACAGATCAAATATACTCTGTTCATTTACGGGAACAAACAATTATTAATACCCTTTATTCTCCAAGGAACTATCACTCAATCTTTGCCACAAAATAAAGCACAGCATTGCCTTTCCAGTTGCAACAGTCCCGTTGATTGTATGCAAAGACTGTCGTATGCAAAGTGGCCGCACATTCTACCAGTAAACAGTGTACCCCACTCGAAACGCAGCTGGTTTCGATCACCCACGGCTCGTGGCGAGTCATTAATTTCTCGAGCATCGTTCACTCCGTATCGGTCAGCAAACATTGGATCTCGAAGAAAGTCGAGTGATCGGCGATCCATCCTAGTATCTTTGATCCTCTCGTTCCGTTTGAATCGTTCAAATCTCCCGTCTTCCCCCGCAAAACCGATTCCGGGCCGCGAAAGCGATCAGTAATTGGTCACACGTTTAATCGAGTAAGGTGTTCGATGAAGAAACGACTCGACGACCACGTTGTGCACCTCCTGTCGGGATCACACCGTTATCGAGATATTTTCCCTGGAATTCGTTACGCGCCGAAGCGAGTCCGTCTAATTGCTCCTATCATCGTTCGTGGTCGCCGATGGGAAAAGAAACTAAGAAAAACGATCGTATCGTGAGACCGTCGAAGACGTTCAATTATGGAACTGATAGGGAGAACTTTCGAAAAAATTATACCTCCTACGTTTGTTTTTTATAGTCGCATAATCGGGGCTTAATCAGACCGCGTGCGCCTCCCAGTTCATGTATAAATTCAAGCACACCATTTCGCGGGGTTTTCATTTATGTACATTCGAAGTGCCCTTAATCGCGTTTCTAAATTTTCGACACAACACCAAAGACGTGTTTTATCTCTATCCTGATCTTTATCTTTTCACATCGAGTAACTTCACGCTTGACGCCCCCGACAACGACTGTATTTATGTTTTCTAATCGTATTATTAAACTGCGGGACCGTCGAGTGCCTAAGGCCTTATTTCCACTTACGACTAGCCAGTGCCTATAGTATTTACGAAATTTTTTAATTCTACGACGATATATCTATCTTTACGTATCAATACTTCTGTGTTTAAATAAATTAAAATCACTTATGCAACTGTTTGTTTTCTTCTTCTGAGAGTTCTTCGCCATCAAATGTCATAAATATTTCTTCCCATGCAGACTCCCTTTTATTCCAGTTAGCTTACTCTAAACATTCTATGTTTCATATTGATGGATGATTTCTATTTCCTGAACGAAATGCTCGAAGTTCAATGAACGTTTGGAAGAAGAAAAGCAACAGTTTCATAAGTGATTTTAATTTATTTAAACACAGAAGTATAGATACTTAAACACTATAATACTATAATACTGCGTGAAAGAAATTTTGTTGCGTCATTTAGTATTGCACGCGACTAGTCGCAAGTGGAAATAAGGCCTATGGAATAAGAGCCGTGTTGTGAACGGATTCATGGATTCCACCAGCGAAAGTTACTCGACGTATTACTCCACTGACCCAAAACGTTCACGAGAGTGGAGGACACATTGGGTGGGTCCTAGGCCGAGTAAACCAGTTTCCAAAATCGCGGCTGACTGTCCCCGAAATGTGTTACAGCCGGCAATGAGCAACACGACAAGGACAGTCTGAACGAAACCGGAAGCACGACGGGTTGCACTGTGGAGGGTGCGCCTGGCGGCAGCGCCCCCATACGGGGTGACAGACACACCGAGTCCGAGACCGTCGCCGCTGACACCACAAGATCGTCTGGTCCGTCGAGATCCTTGATCTCCAGGCTGCTTTCCAGGGCGCGATCGTCGAACGATCTGCTGGATCACTCCGAACCCTTGTAAGATCATTACAGACACAGTAATATTTTCTTATTTAATTTAATAGTTATTACTAGACTGGGACAATAATCTTATAGGGAGAAATGCTTCAGAGCCTCATAAATTCGTGTTTTGCACAATCAGATATGAAATTCAGTTTTTCACCATTGTTCTGACTAAATATTATAAGGCTTTGAGTTAACGATGATTGTTATTTTTCTGTTTTGCTGCTTTCAATAGAGACTTCCGGTCTTTTCCAACCCAGTAGTGTCTTTATCTTTTCAAACGTAGAACAATCTTCCAGTTCTTTCTTCTTTGATGAAAGCTGTTTTTGGTAATTGTTCGTAAGTAATAAAACTACCGACGACACGAAGGACATCTTTTTGTTGTTTGTTACAGTTCTCAATTATGGATTGTCCTGTCGAACGTCTACGGCCAGCTGGTCATGGTGTTGATGATCGCTCTTTGCCTGGCGGAAGTTATGGACACGCCTGTACCCCTTCTCAGCTTGCAAGTAAGTGAATTAATGAAAACTTAACCCCACAAAATATACATATATCACTACTGCTGTACAGTATGTATATTATTTCTCATAGAAAGTGAAGCAACTTTCCAATTTCATGTATTTTAATTAATTTTATGATTTACTACCTTTTCGAGATAATCGATTTAAAACTTTCGAAAGTAGCTTTACCACCTCAGCACGAATTTCCCGCGATAAAAAGAAACAAATAATGAATATTTTCATGCACTCCATCTGCACGCAAAATTTCGAATTTTACGATTTTCGAATAGTCTTGCGCACATTCACGTGTGATTTTAACGTTTTAAAATAAACTTCACCATTCCCACAATTTCCTGATTGGTGCAACATTTCTGTAGCTGTTCTTCTCTAACTACGATTCGTTGGGTTCAAGCTTATATAAAGATTATCAGGATTCTCAACATCTCACACATTCTTCCATATACATATATCGTTATAAATGTACATTCTTATATCTTCAATGAAACGGTACATGATACCGTGTCAGAGGTCGAAGTTCCTAAAAAAAAATCAAAGAGCTGGTCGTTTGATAACCTTGCGTACACGGCACTGCAAAAACGTGTCGAGCATTGAAATCACCAAGCCAGGCGTCCTTACTAATGCCGCGTTCTCAATTTTATTACGCGGAACCTGGCCACCATTATCGGCCGTGAATTTCTCATCCCAGTTTACGGTTTATTCCCTTGCACGAGTTAACATTTCAGGCTTCCCCCGGCTAAAAGCTTAAGTATACATATCCATGAAATTCTTTAAAACGTCGTCGTCATCTGGCCACATCGTTCGAGTCCCTGTCGGACGGCACTAAAAGGCTAATCGTGCGCGAATCCTTTAAGCAAAAAGAAATGTTTCGATGTGTATACTTAAACTCATAAAGCGTAGAATATTACGGCAAACGGGGACGTCCCGTAAAATCGTGATCCTGAACGAACGATTCTCACTGAGCGATATTTCATTCAGTAATCTAGAGACGTGAACCGTGTTCCCTTAATCATTTGGCGGCAACGGGCTTTAATGTATGTACAACTATATTATAGTCGGCGAACGAATGGCTCTTCGGTATTCACGACGCGTGTGCACCTGCGCTCGAATGCAAAACTCCGTTGAGTTTTTCATTTCAGTTCAAAGAGTTTACGATCTATGATTTTTCTGACACCAGGTACCGTTGCACAGCCCAAGGTGTGTGCCATAATTGCCTTCGAATGGTCTTTAAGCATTCTGCTGTCCGAAGAAGCTTAAAAAACGGAATTCTCGTTGACACCTGTTTGATCTTCTTAATGTCCTTCTTGAACTTATCCTCTGTTTATCCACGATTGGTCCATTAAGGACTGACCATTAAGGTCATACAGACTTGGTTGATATCTTGTTGAAAGACCAAATGACACCCAGAAGATCCTACGAGCAGAAACTTGACAAATTTCATCCTACGAACATATTTGCTCAATTACAATTACCCAGATGTCCTCGATTGTACTTGTTAAAAATGGATCCATCTGTCACAAATGAGGATATGTCTATTATTATACCTTCGAATACAAGGATGTATAGAGGGCTGTCGTGATCAATTCGAAATAATGGCGGCAAACAGCTGGCATTCTACCTGTATTCGGATCGAACGGAACACACAATTACGCTCGATTCACCGTGGCCATTTTTCACGTAAATTATGGATCAGTCTGAATCGAGATGCCGACGGGTTACGGTAACCGTAGCTCCGCGGTGGATTGAATTCACGATTCCTGTGCACCGCCTGGGCTGGGGATCATCAAGCGCACTTCAGAGCACGATGAACCCGTCAGGCCTTACGTTTCCGTGGACCTTATGCTGGGTTGGAGGGATTATAGGAGTACTGGATCGTGGTTTAGCGGTTAATAGAGTCGTCTACCCTGGATCATAAGGCAGAATTACGAGCTATCCTATAATCTCAAGTCTTACCTCGATAATTTTCGTTTTCATCACTCATAAGATGTTATGATCTTAGAACGATGAGGTACACTTTAATAGGATGTAATTTAATTTACATTCTGTTTTCTTCTGTTTTATGAATTATTACACGAATTACGAAAGTCAACATGTTTGATACTTGATCGTTTAACTACAGACCATTCAAAGAATTTGAATTTTTCTGTTACTGTCACAACTTGGCGGAGAATTTTAGATGCTATACGGTTTGAGTATCTTCGATTGTGAGTAAATTGCAGATTGTTATTAAATGTACATTAGTTATTAAAAGTATTACAAAGTAGTCGTTGTCGGACTATTCATCTTTGGGTTGAGTTGTTTTGTAGTTAAGGGTTAACATGTGTACTATAGATATCTTCCTGGGTTTTTGATGAGCTCAGACTATCATTCTGGGATTAACTTTGTAGACTCTGGTAGCAACGACAGATAGTATGAGCTTCATTGGTTTTATTAAATTTCTTGGAAAAATACAAGATGAATAAGATATTATAGTGCATTAAAATTAACATCTTATACCCTGTACCCTTAAATACTTTAACCCTTCAACACCTAAACACTTAAATCGTTATTTCAAAATCACGAGACTGATGTATACGTTGTATCTTGTTACCTTGAAAAATTCTCTTTTGAATTCTTTAACGCCCAAACACCTGTTTCGGGGGAAAAAATTATTTTTCTGTAAAAAAATCATTCGTCTGTATTTTCACGACAAAACCCCTCAAAATATGATTTTCTAGATGTTACGTATACACTAGGGGTTAAAGAGTTAAGTAAGTTTCTTTCTATGAAACGCGAATGATTTTCCACAAGCAAGCTAACAACTGTTGTCAGAAAAAATTGAAGAAATTATAACAATTGCTAAGTTTCATGCTATTCCAAATCAATTCAGCGATACAGATCGAACCAGTTTCCTGAGACATCCTGTACGGTCTATCAGTATTCCAGAATGCTACCATATTTACAGGGTGTCTTCCTGATGTATCTGTACGTGGGGAGCATAGCGGTGATCATCAGCATCTATATATGGGTGTTGGTGGACAGTTGCGGAAGCCTCGGTAGCGGTGCCAGCGGTGTCGACGACGCGGAACTCGGTGGAACGTCTTTGACCAGGTTCGGATCCTTGAAACGTGCGCACATCTCACGTTCCAGAACAGCACCGACCAGTTTCTACATTAGGGTCGGAGCACTGCGTGAGTTACCCTAAGCGAATTCTACTCAGTTACTCGAGACCAGAAAGAAACAGTCAAAGAAATCGTCTATGCTATCGACAGTCTTCGGCCTGGCGACTCTCGTCTTCAATGGATTGGAAATGGCGATGCACTCGATGATGCAGGGCGCGGAGTGTCTCAGCGACGTCGTCTTCGTCCATCCGGTTCTTCATGGTTTATTCACGTTTCTGCAGATGCACTTTCTTTTTGTCAATTCGCAGGTGAATGGACTCTTCGAATCCTAGTAATTGTTCTATTACACGTAGGTTAGAAGTCCCAATTACTGCAACCTCAAGATTGTAGGGTAATTTTGCTTAATCATTTTACGTGTTGTTTAACCTGAAGATCATCTCAGTGTGGAATAGAATATCATTTAATATCTGTTGTATTATAAAAACATATTTTTATACATTAAATACAAAGAATTAATTAATAATTAATTAAAATCTGCGAGAAATCCTACTGTCCCTATAACTGTCATCTCAAAAATTAAAGTAACTTTCATTTGTTGAAATAATTTATTTGGACAGTAAAATGACGACTCTTTTTTTTTAGTATGATTTTGCTATCACTTATTACTTACGTAGTCGCGTTTTTTATGCTCAAATTGCACCTTCATTTTTCAATATTAATTTTTAAATACCAAGTACTAACGAGTACATGTAATTCTTTGTTTTTTTTTTTAAATATAAATCAAAGCCCCAATTTAATAATAAAATTTTGTCCACACTACTTTCTATACGTTAAATAAAGAATGTGGCAATATTAGGGACACTGACAGTAATTGGGACATTTACCCTAGTGTGTTTGTTACTTGCTTTCTTTTCCGCATTTCAAGCGAATAATTTTGTAAACAGGTTCTGGTAGAGAGGTTTGGTCTAGCAGCAAGGTTTGGGTTTATTCATCTGGCCGCCACCAACATTGCAGTGTGGATTCGAATGGTAATTTGGGATTCCGCGCAGGAGTGGACGTATTTTGTTCATTTGGCGCAACGAGGGCTGCACAATGCCGCTTCTCCGTTGAATCTTCGGGGATTTCCGGAGTCTCTGATAAGACACGCTAGAGACTTAATAGGTTCGTTCTTAACTGCCCGAATGAATTAAAAGATTAATTAGCTGTAGGTCACTGAAGAAACAGTAAAATTGGAGGAACTGAAGCTTTTTAATGAAACAGTAAACTATCTTCTCCATGTGGAAGTGACCTTAAATAGTCAATTGAATTTCCCTCTTTCCTCTTTATTCAGCAAGAACACCTCAAATGTACATCGCCTTTCAGATCATTCTCCGCCGGGGAAAAACGCCTACCGACCGATTTCAGACGAGCAAATCTCTCAAGTGATTGCTCTACAAGAATGCCTGAACACGAACACTCTGGGCCAGTTGTGGACATCAAGCATGCCATTCCTTTATCCATTTATCGTGCAATTCAGGTGCCTATCGAAAAGATCATTCATCATTATATTGGGTTGGTAAAGAAGTCCTATCAGAAAATTAGACTATTAATTTCTTCATGGAATTTGGACACTACATTCGATCTTTATTGGAACTTAGAATTAGCTTTAATCGATAATATAGTCACCTTCTGTATTAACAACTTTCTTGTCTCTGTTCTGATGTCGTCGATGCTTGTGAACGTTTTTTTTGCATAAACGGTGGTTTAGATGCCAGAACATTCAGAAATCAGGCAAATACTGGCAAATAATTTCTGATGGATCTCTTTCAACACGTGTCTCGTGTTGGGTCACGAGGGCTCCTGCCGCCGGCACGTGCTGTCTTTATCATTGGTGTTATCGATAAAGGATATCCAAAGTAGCATCTAACCTGGGATAGCAGTAGGAAAAATTTTCAAAAAATCCACTGTTCTGAAACTATTTCTGATTGACACAGTATTTCAACTGCCTCTTTATATACCCCTGAAGGGTAGTGTGAAGAACCTTCCAGAAGTTTCCCCCGACCACTAGTTCCCATATCCTGCCAAAAAATAATGAGTTCTTGAAAATTTTCTGACGGGACTTGTTTTTACCAATATTATACAAGACTTGGTTATCAACTTCAGACCGTTTCAGCTTGATCGCCGCCGCAGTCACATTCGTCATGGGCCAGAACGTGGGTCGCAATCGATTGTCGCACAAGCAGAAGTTCTACAGCAGCAAGGATCTAACGAGTCACACTAAAGTGGGCTGTGACGGGTCCAGCAAAGGGCTGTTCCTCGGTATATTGTGCATGGTGGCCGGAATAGTGGTGATCTTGATATTCCTCGTAGTTAGAGAGGATGAACACTTCCCATCGAACACTTTGTCTTGGTTGACCTGTAGTACCCTGATCAGTATTCTAGTTCTGAGCAGCTTAATGACAGCGAGTGGCCTGCTCCAAGTTCGTCAGATGTCCGTGGTGACCAGAGCTCCAGCCGCCTTGGACAGTTTATTGTCAAACGTCGCTTTATTCGGTGTCCAGCTGTACTCCGTGTTCACGATAGTGGTCACCGCGTGTTCTCTGGCCATACTGGAGGGTCAGTCCGATGAAACTCGAGCAAGACACATTATGCTACTCACAGCCTCCGTTTTACAAGTGATACAGTGCTTCGCTCAGAGCACCTTGATCGCTGAGGCCTCGAAACGCTCCTGCATAACTCGCTTCCAATTGATAGCGAAACCGGCCCGCCAAGTGATCACGTTCTTGTTGTTCAGCAACTCTGTCCTGTGGGCGTTCGACACTGTTATAACGCAAAACTGGATCTCCCAGGAGTTACAACTACGATTCTTCGGGGTACTCGCGTGGGGCGTTCTGTCCAGGATCGGGCTTCCATTGTTAATCTTCTACCGGTTTCACAGCTGCGTGTTGCTGTTGGAGGCGTGGAACAAGTGTTATAGATTCAACTCTATCTAAACTCTGTCCCACAATGGAGTAACTTTAAGCTCGGACGAGTATTCGACCGATCTGCGCAGCTTCCATACTGTCTAACCGATTCGGACGATTGCTCGTAGTTTAATAACTCTGCCGGGCTTCTACCAATTAACGGTATAACCCAAGCTCATGACATCATATACGTCAACGAAAATTGTGCTTAAGTGGGGGTTCAGACATTGCAACGCCTTCTTAGATTGATCCTATGAGTGAAACGAGGTTATTCTTACGTGGGACAGAGTACATTCGAGTAGATCGTAAGGGTTCGCGTATTTTTCAGTCAAATATACTGATAAATTCTCCGACTAGCGCGTAAAGTAACGAATTCTCTTTATAGACTGCAATCGAGGTCGCATCACTCTTACCGTCGCAGACAGGTGAGGATCAACTTGCGACAGGACACCGACTGGTCCTCAATGATTCAGAGAACCCCAAAGACATTCCGTCCGAGCTCGTTGATAATGGACTCGGTGCGTTTCGTTCCTTTCGTGGACAAACGGCTCTACTTCGATCCGAATTCGTTGATTCATGTCGCGACACCAGCGCTGCATTCGCAGAGCCTGGAGCACGGGTTGTCCTCGCCGAGAAGGAAACCGCAACGACATCACCACCATCATCATCACCGTCATCGTCGACATCATCATCATAGGAAACATCGTCGTGTGGTCAGTGATCCGGGTACGAGAAACTGGAATCCCGTTAACGACGAAGTGAAACGACACCGTAGGATGTTCAGCTTCGATATGGGTGTCAGTGGACTCAGGCGGGACGCCTCGATGCTCGAGGTGTCGATCGCCAAGAACGACGGCAATGAAGAAGTTATGTCTCCTGACGACGCTAATACATCGACATTCAGAAAAGTGCCATGGCATCCGAACTTGCACATGCTCAAAATCAGAAGAACGTAGCACGTCAACACCCCTGGATCGCTAGATTCAGACAGGGAGCGTGAATTTTATACGTGAAGTACGGTAACACTCGGATAGTTGACCTGGTATCCATTCGATTTTTATACGGCTTTGTTTGAATTACATTTTGTCGCAGAACATCTTCAGTTTCACTATGCAGAATTGCCTCGGTTTGTGTAAATTACGAGTAATTTAAATTGGACAGTTTTTCGCATTATAGTGAACATACATGAAATGTCATTCGTGTGGGTTGTGTTGTAGTTAAACGGGGCCAAGAGGAGGGACAATTATCCGTGACTTTCTGTACGATACACGTGAATTCAATTGTTCACTCGAGGTCACTATTACCTGGTAACACGGTCGTATACACAGGTCTGGGAACTCCCGTGGTGGGGGTGATCTTGTAAGGAAGAACAAAAGTTTCCTGAATTTTCTTCTCTAATTGTACGTATATTATATTTTAAAAGCAAGAATAGGTGCATGTGCCCTGATGCGCCACGGGGAATATATACGACTGCGACTAAACCCATTGACCTAGGAATTTGAAGACGGAGAGCAAGGTCCCATTCCTAGGTACATGACTGAACCATAACACCGTAATGCCCTCGCTTCGTGACAAAGTTCGAAAATACACATGGCGTCTTTAAAGGATCACCCCCATCACGGGAGTTTCCGGACCTGTATATTCGACCGTGCTGGTAAGAAAGTGTACAGTCTCTTAGAGACCTTGAACGGTCAATTGAATTCGTGTCTACTAGAAGAAGTTTGTTATTCGTCTCATTGTGTTTCTCATGCTCGTTGCTCGTGAGTCAATTACAGTGGGACGCTGTTTATTTATATACATTGTGTGTTAAAAGTGAACAACAATTTTTCAACGACGTGTTATTTATCTAACTTTGTTGTGTATCAAAGCGAATAACGAATTATCCTTAAGAGTGCAGTACCTTGCGATTTCGCGTGCAATATTATCGTTTGTAAGGACCCTACGGGTAAGAATCTATTTATTTTTCCGCGAGTGGCCTAGTACGGGGATACTACGTCACTAGAAGCCATCGGAGGTCTCGTGTGCCCTTCGGAACCGTGAAATTCTCCTCATGTTTTTTGGAGTTCACATGTATGTGATCACAATCATATTTGTATATATATTTGTTACAATCGCTCTGGTAAATAAGAATTTCGAGTATTTATACAGAACTGTATTTATTGAACTCACGGTATATCGCATGGCAGTTTATGTTTCAACAGGCACATATCTCGAAGCACTATAGGTTTCGCTTAATGCTCAAATCACACTCTCCGTTTTTCACGTGTTATAAGAAAATGTGCTTTATGGTAATACCTTTATTTGAATATTTTTTAAAGGATACAATGAACAGAACATTAAAAGGTAAAGCTAAGTAAGTCGAATTAAAATGATTTGTAAATCTTTTCGATAGGCTTACAAATTTCATGAAAACTGTGGGCTTAGTGAACATCATGACTGTTAACTATGTTTTGACAAAAAAAAACATTCTCTTTCCTCTTCTCCGTAGATATATATATACAATAAAGATCCTTTGTGTTTTTAACGACCAACGAAAATCTATTGGTACAGTTCACACTAATAACTAACTTTGCACATAGACGCCTTGTGAACATTGAGAAATCATTTAAAGAATCTAACATGCCACATTATATCGTGAACGTAATCGTTTCCGGTGAGCGTATCAAGTCGAGCAACGTGAACAAAATAATCCCACGAAACGCTTAACAATTAGATTAGACATATATATGTGTGTGTGTGTGTAGAAAGTGTAAGGTTAAGTAATAAAAAAAAAGAAAACAATGACAAACACCTCGTTGACAAACGAACGCCTTATCACATAGTGCAATTATCAAAAGTACGTTCAATAGTTATAATAACAAAATGAAAAAAAGAAAGAAAATGCTGTGGAAACAAACTCTTACTATCACTTACCCGATTTAATATCGTACAATAAACAATAAAAAGTAAAAAAAAAAATGGAAAGTCTAAGGAAAAAATAAAAAATAAGCACGATTCCTTCTTTTCCATGCTAGTGAACAATCTATTTGCAACTGAATCCAAGCTGGAACATAGTACAATTGTTTGCCCGACTGAAGGTTATATTAAATGATTAGTTAGGAATCACAAGTGGACGTTGCTTATTAACAAGTATCGATATACTATATATTTAAAATATCATCGTTTCGAGTACTTTACCACAGTATTGTAATGACACGTCTTTCCCGTAACATTGAAATTGATCCTTTCCAAAATATGTGGGCTTATTTGGAATTAAAAAATAGTTACTAGATTCCAGCCATCGATTAGTTCTTTTCAACAGAGGGGACTGTGTTCAGTATATGAAGGGACCAGGAAGGCCGTGTGGATTGTAAAAGGGTAAAAGTAGAAGGAGTTTCGACTCTCGTTTAATCGAGGCCAACATCGTCATTCACTTTTGCATTCGGGGGGTTCGACGGTGCCCCTTCTGGATTCGGGAACCCGGGCATGCCACCCATCATACCAGGAAAACCACCTGGCATCCCACCGGCTCCTCCAAACTTTGAGGCCATCTTGTTGATGAACGCCATTATCTTTGGATTGCTCTGGTACTTCAGAATGTTGGTAGGGTCCGTGGAGATTTCTTTGAAAGCCTCGGTCACCTCCGGGTCCTAAACATTTGAAATCATTCTATAAAGTCTAATTCCAAAACCCTAACGTTGCAGTTCACTTGTTATCTTGTTCTCTAAACACAACTGTACTCTAAACTTATTGAGGTCTTTTAAAATTCTAACAAAAGGATCATCTTCAATATGTGTTGATAAATCCTTAATACGATGGCAGTTTTACGCAAATTAATAAGGATTACATATAAATAGAATAAGCTATGAATAACTTAGTATCTAAATAACTTCTCTACACCAACAAGTAGTAGAAGTATTTGAACTTAAGAATATCTTTCTACTTTCTTCTTCTGAAACCAAGATGTCCTTTTACGTATAATCCTGCAACTGTAGCAAAGACAGATTAAGGGACTTAAGATTTTATAACCACGCGTTGGCTACCAATCGCAGCGCGTAGCCAACGTTACCGCGGTTTGTCGTTAATATCTCGTTAACAAAGCCTCGGATAACATTTTTGTTAAGGAAAAACTTGTTTCAAATCGCCTCACGAGTGTCCCATTTCAGGGACCTGCAATATTTTTGTTACGCCCTATATACTATTCAACCATTTGTAACGACGTGATCGTCAATTGAACAGTCGACTTACGTTGAATGCTTGGCAAACTTCAGGATCCTTGAGGAATTGGAAAAAATCGCCCATGCCAGAAGTCTCTGGGCCCGTGTCGGTCTGGGAGGTGCGGGTGTTCTCCTCGTGTGCTTTCGCGCTCTCCCGCGCTTTTTTCACACGCTCCTGCCGTTCACGCTCCAACTTTTCTTGCATCTTTCGCTCTTTCTTCCTGTTGTGCTCCTCGATCTTCCGGGCCTGAAAATGAAGATGGTAGAATCTATTAATTAATGTAAATTTGCAAGCTATGTTTAAATGTGTCAGACATCTTGCAAGGTCAGTCATTACCCTAATTACAGTAGATGAAAATTGATTTGTACTTTAGGGTACTTCCCTTGAAGTTCTAAACTACCCTGTTTGTACTGAACCGTTTCTTGTGTTCTTTCTTTTCTTATTTTATTCGTTCATTTCTTCTGATCTATTAGGTGGAGGTACTAATACGTACTTCACTATAATTTGTCAAATTCAATACATATTTTCGATGAGATCAGAGACCTATGCTGTTTCAGTGATATTTGCCCTCGTTCTAGATTGTTCGCCATCATTTGGAAATAAGAAAAGGGTAGAAAGTTGTATCAAATTTGAAGTGTTATCGGTTTATAAAAATGAAATAATGGATTATTTATTGATACACTTAATTAGTAGTATTATAGTCCAATCATCATTGTCGATTACAAACAATTTACAGTAATTTCGTGAAGCATAGGTATTTCCAAAGTACAGTGGAAATTACAGATTGTATTTAACATCTTCGACCTGGAATAGAACTATTCTTGAATGCTTCGATATATTCTGTAATGCTGAAAAAACTTCTAAAAGTATTTGCCACAGAGATCAGTGTGCATTCCGAATGATACCGATATTGTAGAATACAGTTAATATTGCCAATAGGAAGTATTCACTGTAAAAGGAGCAACTCGTTGTACATACTTAGGAACCTATCCAAATTCTAAATCATAATGAGACGACACAGGTCTGTCCGAGATACATTGTGACCTCATACAATTACGGGCTTATTATAGACCGCGATGCAGCCAATTCGGCCAGTAAACTTCGCTCGTACAATCGACATTTTTCCCAGCTTTTAACTAATTCCGACATCATCGGTTATCAACGACTGCCAATAGCGGTCGTAGCGAATCGAATGTCCGTCATCGACGACCCACGCGCGCCAGTCAACATGTTAAATAAACCTAACTAACCACAGATCATTGCATTCGTTTAGAAAACTCATGAAACGTACCATGTGGAATAATTGTACTTCGAAACGACAGCAAATTTTATTTTTTTTTTCTTTCAAATTTTTAACTTTCAATTCTTATTCTTCAAATTTCATTTTTCCCCAGCGTACAAATCTATGTAACAGGCTAACGATCAGTAGTACGTTAACGAATCCGGATATTATAGTTGAAAATGTGCAAAAGTTGCTAGGCTGAACCCTTTCGACACGACCGATTATTAAAACAAGCAAATGATTAAATATTGACTTTTACAATTCCTTGTTTTATATTCACAACAATTTTCGCGCCGCTGGTTAGAAATGTTCATTTATTTAATGTTGTTTATTCACTGGTGAAATCTGTATTTTTTCTTCTTAATTTAATTAATTACATTCTTGCAATTTTTCAAATTGAAATCACATTACAGTAATGTCTCGATGAGTGCGACGAACTCGGGTCCGCTTCGGAGCATCCGTGGCAAGACGGAACAGTGTTCAGCCCCTCATAAATTTGTTTTTTTTTTTTGCACGAAGCCGAGCCTCTGCTTAGCTTCTGTTTATTCTGTTTTGATTGGTTTCAGAAGAGGACCTCTCAATGATGGGAATAATGCCATTGTTAGGGTCGCATTCATCGAGGAATCACTGTACAATGTAGATCTTAAAAAAATCTAATTTTCGCGTGCCGAATATTTATTAATATTATTATCATTTGAAATTCGACTGTAATAGTTACAAAATCTATCAAGTGTTCATTCATTGGTGCGTTTACCCTAACCTCTAGAAATAATTTAAGGTGAAGGTGTTGTATCGTATCGCTCTTAGACTTCCTACAGGAGCATTTCGTGGCCAAAATCGTCATATCGAACAGGTCAGGTAAAAATACGTTAATTGTGGCGGATAAGAGGATGCACAGATAAGAAGAAAGTGCATGAAGGAAGACGGGAGAGAGCGAAACGCGCCGCGAGAACTTTTGCACGGAGGGAGCACCACCTTATACGGCGGCGACCCGGGCTTCTAAATATAAAGGCGCCCGTCGTCCCGACGCTCCTCTGCGTCCGAGCGGGCAACGTATTTCGCCGCGAATCTCTTCTCTTGGGCTGCGCCCGCCGTTCCCAGGCCCTGTATTCCATCGTTCGCGACAACAGACCAGCTGGAATTTCGCGGATATTACGTTACCAACGTTCCAACACCCCCTTACAGCCAGTACAGACGATACGGTTTTTTGACCGATTCGGTAATTTTGCCGAATAAATAATAAAGCAGTATTCATACGATTCCGTACCTTCACTGAAAATCCAACTGTCACGGTTATGCTTATTTTCTTTGTACGTACGAATACTGTTTTCGGCTACTACTGTATCGTCTGAACTGGCTGTTAGGTTCTGTAATATCCGGTACGCGCCGTTCGACTTCCGGTTCGAGAATGACGAATATCCGCCGCGTCTGGATCGTACGTGGAACCAATATGGCGATCATGTTTAGCTGATACCCTCGCGGAATTGGAGAATTAGGATTTTTTAAAATTAAAACTGAACCCCTTTCGGCTTTTTTTTAATTTAAATTTGAAATGTAAGGAGTTCATAGCAGAGATCGAGAGGTGAATTGGAATGAATTGAGACGAGAATGAAGTTTATGCTAATTCACAGTTTCAGACATTGGTATCTAAAAATTAAAGTGGGAAAGAATTTTCAGTTTTACACCAAGGCTCTACTACGTCAATAATAACACAGTATTAAACTTCATTAAAATCTTCATTTTAATATAAATGCATAAACATGCGCAGTCTATTCATAACCTGAATAAGATCTATTACTTATTCTGTTAATTTCTTGAGCCTTTACGTTTGTGGGTGAATCGAGAAACTGTTGGGCATTGTGTAGAATATGATCTATACAGTAAATGATTGTGGTTCATAGAGGAAATGGAGCAAGATGAATAGGAGTTACGTGAAATAGTTTAGTGTAGAACTTCTCTGTTATGCAGAAAATTTCTACCTGAGCCGTTCATTCTATAAAGTATACATGTTATGAATAGATTATGAATTTATAAAACTGAATATATAAAACTGAACAAAATAGAGACTTTCGTAATATTTACTAAATGTATTAATTTCTTTCCATTGTAATAGAACCACTGATAAAGAAGGTCAGTTTCTCCTTATGTCTGGTATTCCAAAATTTATCTACAAAAATTTGAATCTGCATAAACATCCGTAGTCTAGTAATGATTATAACCGTCTATACATATATGTATAGATTCGACTTTTGGTTTTCATCCCCAATGGACAGGGACAAAATGTCCCAAGTCTGCAAGCGAAAAAACATTGTGCACAAGACGAGAAATATTAAGTAACAGACCTTGAAGTTCATTTATACCAGTTCTCTCTTCAGGGTCTTATTTAATCGAGTCATACATTGCACACGTTTGTAATACATTTCTTCTGCATCTTACTCTTAGTGAACAAGAAAAAGTAAATTTCCCGAAGTCCCGTCCCCGAACGCGTGAAATGTAAATTCCTTCCGATTCCCAAGACGACCTTGTCCCCATATCACGCATGTATTTCGGGACACGAATAAATGTGCTCCCCATTAGCTAATGCGTGATCAACGAATTTTCTCTCAACAATTTATACCTATCATCGCGAAATTAACTAACAGTCGAGTCTGTGAGAGGATCCGCAATAATTCCGTGATTATTTATATATTTCCGAAACGTGTCTAATTTCGTAACTTCTTCGTATTTCCGGGTTCGGTGCGTCGTTCAAAAAACACAGAGCGGACAAAACGAAAAAACAGTCGATGACAGAGCTTCGTTATAAGTCAGACGTAAAAAAAAAAAAAAAGAGTGGAGAACGACGTTGGAAAAACGAGGTTGAGAATGACGCGCGTCAGAGGCTGGGTCGAAACGTGTGCAGGATCTCCGACGCGAGAGAGACCCGCTAGTCAATGTCTCTGCGGTCTGTCGGCCAGGTAGACCCTGCAAAACCCGAGAAAACCGGGCCGCCGAGTGGGTATTTTTAAAACTCCGTGTCTACGGGCCAGTATCTTCGGATCGTAGAAGATAAAAGATTCGGTGATTCAGTGGGCCGCGTCAAGCTCCCGAATCCAAAATATACAAATCACTTGTTGCCCCCAATAGGGCGAAAAATATACGGTTCGAACAGCATCGGACGGAAATTTGACGGTCATATTCAAGTACAAGGTGAAAGCACGTCTTCGGGTTAGAGAGAATGCTCTGAAATGATCAAGTAGAGAAGAACCTTAGGACGTTTAGATCTTCTAATTTAGAGAATTTTTAGATTAGGATATATAGGAATACTCTGTCAAGGTTTTGTATCAAACATTCATTTATTTTAAACATTCTCTCGGATTCTGAAAGGTTCAAGTGAAGCCTCTAAAACAGTCTGTCTCCCAAGATTTTTTGGTTCATGCCCTACCTCAAACCTCGAAGATCTCAACGCTCTGCTAGTATAATAGTAAATCAAGCTCTGGACAAGTTTAACATTAATAACAACTTGAAATAAAAAAGGCACATCAGTAAAACTGATGAGGTGACGAATGTCAATTATTTACTAATTGCCAGAAGCCTAGAATATATCCTCTCCATAGCACACATCCTCTACTCTTTATGAACAATTACTGGGTACAACAACGACCAAAATTGTAACAATCATCTAGGGATTATAACGTTCTCCAAACTCAAACTTAACCCAGACCAAAAATGGAACAACTTCCCAGGGATTTCTGTCCTCCAAACTACCAAACAGAGAATCCCCTCAGGTTCCCAAGAACTCTACGTCTCTCCTCAAAGAAGGCAATCTTCGCCCAGCTTGACCAATAAATAATCCTCAGTAGTAGTCTCTAATTCCAAGTGAAATCACCTCCAAAGATTCATATCCAGTATCCATAAAGCAACAATTCACCATCTCCAAACTTCTGAAAGTCATCAATAGGGCCCAGTCTGGCCGGCGTAGCATCGTCTTTGGGATTTAATTCTGCCACCCATTAGCTGGAGATCGGGAGAATCGAGGAATCCTGACGATGAAACGGAACCAAAACGACAGGACAAACGGTAGGAGGGCAAGGGAAGAAAAAACGACAGACACGGTGCTCAGAGGAAATAGGTACTGGCGGCCGTGTAGCATCGTCGTACGCGGCGGCTCGTGGGGTGGAGAGAAGTAGAGGGGCTTGGTTCGTGTCGGGGTTCGTCGGTAGTGACAATGCCAGTTCCTCGCGGGCGAGTTTGAGTCGAAGGCGACTATCGAGTGAGACGAGCTGCCAGCCCTGGCTGATCGTGTAGTGCCTAGTGAAACGAGATGACGGGCTCGCGGCTGAGACCCGCGGTCTTCGTGGGCCTCTTCCTGGCCCTTCTAGCCGTCGCCTTAGAGGGTGAGTAGGCCCTTGCCCGGAAGTCGACCGTCTGCTTCTTCCTCCGCCCCCACCCCTCAAGAGGCTCCGCCTGCCCTCTTGACCTTGCGCCGCCATCGTTCCCTTTCGACACTTCCACGGGGATCACCGATGGCCATTGAAATTCGGTTGACAGCTTCTTTGCTGCTTCACTTGTCCTTCAAGTTGCAAACCGACTGCTTAACAGTGAATTCTAGACACTGGTGACAGAGGCCAAGTGTGAAGAATGGATAGTGATTGGCGACGTTTTCACCAAGATTTTACAGTTCGATATGTGGAAGCTTATTAATTAATGTGTCGATTGTCAGCGTTCAATTAGGTGGAGCCTGTTAATTTTCCCTGTCGAATAAGAATTAGCACTGGATCGTAATTTGCCGCTGAGATTCAAGCATTTATTAATAGGCTCTTGGCTGTTAGTCGATGGTTCTGGGAAGACTATTGAATAATCCCCCCTCGTAGGTAAAGTGTTAAGGAACTAGCTTGGGTAGTGAAGTACTTTTTGCTGATTGGTTTTTGTTGAACTGTATCCCGGAATGGGACTTTGTTTAAATGTACGCGAGCCATCGATCTGTTTCGAGACTTCTTTCGTGTATCTTCGATTATGATGAACGTAGATAATTCTTTCTTCGAGGTGGTTTTTTCTTTTTGGTGAATCTTGAATGGTAACGTGTCAGATTAGGAATCACGTGGGCGGAGGAACTTATGATGATCCCAATGTAATTTTATTTATGATCGTTTCGAGGTGTTGATTTGTAGGAGCGTTTCAAAACAAATTCGTGCAATATCGTTATTTGTTGTCTCGTTATTTTTAACGGGGCCGTCACGCGATAGTTTTTTTAGAATGCACCTGATCTCCGACTTCGGCGTCGTTTATTTGCGTTAATTATAGTATATATAAACGCGTGCCGATAACGAAGGCTACTCAGGATTTCTTCTTGATCTTTTCTTGACGCATTTTGAACGAAATTCGTAAAAAGATCAATGAAATTCTCCAACTGATGTCAGATGATGCCAGCTCCAATAAACTTCCTTTGACTTCTACTATCACATTCTGGTTTTTCATTTTGATGTGCACTCAGAATTTCCATTGGATCTTCCGTTATCATAAATTAGATGAATTTTTCATTTTCCACTGACGTATCAATGAGAAATGCTACCTATCTCTCGATCCTTTATTATAGCGTATCAGTGACGAAACGATCTTCCATCTTCCACTGATGCAGATATTAATGACGCAAACATCTATATACTTAGAATTTTCGTTTGATCTAAATTTAACGAATTTTTAATCACCCGTTGACGTATCGATGACGGACATCGTGGATTCAGAGTTTCTCTGTGATCTTAACCGATTTTCTGGTGTCAGGAGGCAACGTCGTGGATTTGGATACAGCAACTTTCTAGAAGCTTTAGTGGTCGATGATGTGGCCGACATGCTGACGAACCTGTGACGATTGACGAAGGTCAATGTTACGTAAAGTCGCTAGTCTGCGTCATCGGTTCCTGGCTCGTTTCAGCCCCTTCGGTATCGTACAGAGACGCGATCGAACCGATGTACCTGCAATTCATTTCGTCATTATCGTCTCCCCACGACGATACATCATTAATCCAAACTATATTTCACCTGTTCGATCCACGTGGCACTTGTTAGAAGGGCGCAAATATGTTTCCTCGACATCTTACCGATTTAATCATACTTTTTCAACATTTCTTTGAATGAAATGAAATGATTTTAATCGTTACACGACTTTATAAAATATTATTTATTACATTTTTTTAGAATAATAATATTTCTAGATCAGTTTTGGAAGAATGATGCGGTAACAGTTCTCGTGGAATGCAATCGAGAGTGTTTTAATCGGGGCGACGATCGAGGAAAAAGTTTCGATCGCGTATTCAAGGATCCGTTATTTTGGGAATCGATGGTAACCGACTGTCAACAACTAGCAAATAATTATATAAGGACCGTGCATAAATCCGTGCCAGATTTGTTCTAAATTCCGTAAACCTACCCGGTGAATTCCATTTAAAGCTGCGTGTTTGATGATACATATCAGCAAATTCATGCTTGATATGTTTGTAAATATGTTGAACATTTTTGACACATTACGATAAACAAATAATAATTTAAGCTCAACAGTACTTGTGGTAAACTGGATACTTACATTCAAAAATGTATTCTAATTAAATATTATTCTGTGGGTTACAATATTGTATTAAAATGAAAGATGACAAGCGTTAATATTCTGTAGGAATTAGCGTGAGAATTAAGGAAGTAGTTGAAATTCCTTTAAATATTTTTCACATTTTCTAGAATCATAATGAACAAAAAATATTCCAGAATTGATTAAAATTAGTTTTTATATCTTAAAGGGACTTGGATATTTTAATTGAAATTGTGGTTAACAGATATTACTTTTTTTGCGAATTTAAAGAATTGAATGGGAAGAATGAAAAATGATATATTTCGGTCGATTCGATTTTTCGAACGGAAGGATTAAAGATCGTGCAAGTCGCGCAGCGCGGGACAAGACTTCGGATTCTATCTTTATACTTGCTGGCTATGCTTGCCAAACGACAGCTGCTTACCTCTGCTTCCATTACCTGTATCTTGACATTTTCGCGGATTATTTTCTGACCATACAATTTCAACATAATACCTTACAAATCGGTCGAGTCCAAAAATTAATATTCGTCGCGGTCGAAGTATCCTTCGAATAAAAATCGTCACAAAATCAAACTAAAAAATTCATGTTTAAACTGACACACTACTATTTAAACTATAAAATAAATTACGATCAACATAGAATTTTATGGATCAATTGGAATTTGTACGCTCTCCTATTCGGGGTTCTTATTGTGTACTAAAAAACTTACATTTTCTTAACCTTGCCATTACAGTGGATTTGTGATAGTCTTTTTGTTTGAAGATCAATTATTCTGGCCTATTATGGAGTAAGGTATTCAAGAAGAAAGGAACAGCAACTAGAATTTATCCCCTATAATTTCTTCCACGCATTTTGGCGTTCATCTCGCGGACAACAAAAGGCTGAAGCACATAAAATGATAAAACCGGGCCACCGTGCCAAAAGCACCAGCGCGTGTGATGTAATGCTGAAAATTTACGGGCTGGGTGCAACGTTAGCCCGCGTATTTTGCTCATTTGTTCCTCTCCTGTGCACGGACCAATTAAGTTTCTCTTTGAAAATTACCTCGGCGATCGAACGACGATTAACGTCGGACGTTGATTAAAAATTTGACCGGTTTCACTAGTAAATACAGGCTGTTTCATAACGTGAGCATCGTTTCAGGGTCGAATTAAACTTACAGAAATAACGATCTTATTTTTATGTTCCTCTCTTATAATTCTGAAACTTATTAGAAAAAATGAAAGCTGTGATGTTTCTATCAAATAATTTCATATTAAAATGTCGACAGTAATAGAATAAAACTAGATATGGTAACACGTGTAGTTTAGATGCAAGGTCAAATATTTCTTTTTTCATTTTATATGTCTAATTCACCTAATATTTTAACATAATAATTAAACACCAAAATATTTTGTTTCTCCAACTAAATACACCTATTGACCTTCATTTAGATCACGCGTACACACTATAAATTCGGTCTATTAATAATGTTTGACATCCAACTTGAATTTCACGTATTTCGTCTGTACTCTTTTTATTTCTGCAAACGCATAAAGTCAGCAGTTAAACGACGACATTCAACGTTCTCTTCGGCGAACTAATTTTAATCGATGGCCTATTAAACGGTTGTGCACAGTGTGGCCACCATTGAACCGAATTTCTTGTCCTCTTCCACGGACGATCGTCGACGAGTCGTTCGCACTTTTCCACAGCGAATAACCGATAAAAATACGTTTCGCTCATCGAATATATAAATATTTTCGAGTGTTGCTCGGCTGAATGCCGCCTACTCGCCGCTATACTTAGAAACCCGACTGGTCCCCAGGTACTGCCTAGAAAGATGATATCGACATTTTCATCGACCGAGATTTTACGTTCTGTTGCCACGTATTATGACACCAAAATTCAGAATCTAGAACGTCGGATCGAGGATTCAAAAAGTAGGATCTAGTTCCTATTCGCGATATAATCTTGCCGCCAAACGTGCCCTCAACCTTTCAACAGTGCAGATTTATTCGCAACGTTCTTGTTTAATGGATCCTTTCACTGTAACAGAATGGATCATAATTCTTAGTTTCGAATAATATTGATCTGTGTGATCTGTTTAGTTACGAATACAGTTGAAGTGTTCTACCTTGTGTTTGGTCTTCGAGACTTTATATAGTCTTTAGAGATCTACTATTGAGGCATTACCGTACTCCTCCTTTCAAGTCTTAATTTTAGCGTTTGGTGGTGCGTTACATTGGTTCTCGTGTTTTTATAGGAGACATAAATTTGCTTTCTGCTATTGGGATCTACTATCGAGGCGTTACTGTACTTTTTTTTCAAACTCTTGATCCAAATATATGATGAGATCAGTAGTTTACTATCTTTTCTTCGATCCTCGAAACTTTACAGTAGTTTATAGTCACTTCTAAAGTGTTAAGTTGTGCAGAAATAATCGCGCCTTAGGTACAGAAAGACCCATATTTATCCTTTAAACACCTTCAATCTTCAGCAATTAATTTCACGTATACATTCACTTGATACGAAGATTGAATGTACCTTGATAAGTACAGGATGGTCCTTAATGAGTGCCCAACATTTTCTTCTGAACAACCAAAATGATCTTCGCATCTTCATCAATCTCTAGAATTGAACTCCATTTATTCGGAAGTTTCATGAAGTGTCTGAAAAACACATTTAGGTTTTCCATCAAACTCATCAATGTCCATTGCAAACAGAGGATCCGAACCAGAACCGAAGACGACGTTTTACATTACCATCTCGGTGGCATCGCACGTTTGCGATTCTCTTCTAAAATTGTGGAACCTACTATCAGGTTCCTGGTTGACGTTGATTGCTACTATGAAGTCTATTAATAAATCCTCGGCAAAGCAAAGTGATCACTGGTCTTGTCATTGGTGAGGTTCTGCCACTTGAGGCGCGCGGGTACCATTTTTCGTCACCACGGGGACACCGAGACGGGCTGTTGTGTTCACGAACACCTGTCATTGTCCGAGCACGCGCCTGCTCCAACGGTGTGTAACGACTTTGACAAGATCTTGCGTCACCTGGGTCAGATATTTTCGTTGGTCGCGTGGCGTTAAACCCTCGGCCGAAGAGCTCGTGTTATCTAACACCCAGCGCCTTCTTTTGGCACCGGTGTGTCCGTCGCATAGTGAGAACTCCCGATGAAAATTCCTGGCAGCCCGAAGGGATCAGGCATAAAATCAAGCCAACCGTAAAATACTTCGCGGCACTACCGCCCGCGTAACGCAAACACATCTTATTAATGTCCATCGCGATCGTGTGTTTCGCATAATTCTCCGTCAACCGGCGCGTCACGCCTCCTCCTGTTTGTTTAGAACCGTTCCTCTCGATCGAGAAACCGGGTATTATTAGCCGAAAACGTCCTTTAGATCCCTAATGAAGCTCGACGTTGGAGGTCTCGCCTAACTATCGATGCTATCATCGATCAGAGGATGCTTCAGGAAAGTGAATGAAAGCTTCTAAAAGAAGGAAAAGAATTGGTCTAACGAATTGATAAGATCAACCGGAGATGTGAAATTCTCTTTTATTGACTAAACCAGGACACACAGAACGACTCACACAACGTCAAACTATTTCGAAATTGGTTAAGATCACAATCTGAAAACTTGGATTGGCTAGGCTACATTATTTGCAATAGAGGTTTGGTTAGACTAGGATCAAAATCATCAGAGTTATACCTCGCTTTAGCTACACCCCATTTCACATTTCTACTTAATTAGAGTTCAAATGTCCTGGTCCCACAACGGGATCATTTCTCTAAAAGAACTCCAGTTACATCTGACAGCCTTAACTGTAGTTACAGTACTACTTCTGTGAATATCGTTGCAGGAGTGCAAAGCGAAGAAGAGCTAGAGGTGCCACCGGAGGATCTATGTCGGCCGTACATTGAGAAGGCGTTGAAGGATCTCGGTACAGGTAATGTTCAGATGTTGGGGGATGCGCGACTGGAGCACAGCGACTTCTAGAATGTTTCGTTTGAAGGATCTCTGGAGCAGACCAGTGCCGAGGCCAGGACCGACGCCGACAAAGAGAGCGACGAGGATGATGGGGGGCAACCACCCGCGAGCGAAGAGGTAAGGCATTCCAACGAAACCCGTGAAACCGATAGGGGATGAGTTTCGGTGTACGTTTTAGGACGGCGAGCCAACAGCCGATGTTTCGAAAGAAGATTTGGCAACCGAGGAAGACAAACAGGAGTCTGTAGAGGCCGAGACTGCGGGAAGCGCTGAACAAGCTGAAGACGACGCTGGCAAATCTGGGGAAGCTGATCAAAGCGCCGAAGGCGCTGGAGACAAGAGCGGTGAAGCGGGTGAAGCCGAAGAAGGTAAAATTTCAGTACCGATTGTGTCACTTTTTGCTCGTAAACAATTTTATCCGACGAGTCCTGGGCTTGGGGAAAGGTAGAAAACAGTTTTTCTAATCCTAAAAAGATAAAGGCACGATCACAAGATAGTGTTCCTACAGGTGAAACGGAACAGGATGAGAAATCCGGCGAAGCAGACGGAGGAACCGAAGAGGACAAGGACGAATCTCCCGAGAAAGTAGACGATGGCGTCGACTCAGGCCAGGATCAAACCGAAGAAGAAAAGGACGAGAAATCTGGCGATGAAACGGAAGGGGACGATCAAAAGTCTGACGAAGCGCAGGTAGACGAAGAAAAGTCCAACGAGGAAGCGCAGGCGGACGACGGAAAGTCCGACGAGGAAGCTCAAGCCGAGGATGGGAAATCCAACGAAGAAGCTCAAGCCGACGATGGGAAATCCGACGAAGATTCACCAGCCGAGGGCGAATCGGTCGAAGAAGCGAAAACCGACGAAGAGAAATCCGACGAAGTCAACACTGAAGAGGTGAAATCCGAGGAGGAACAGGCCGAGGACGAGGATTCGAAGGCGGAAGGAGCGTCCAAAGAGGTGGAGGAAGCTGCAGAGGTATCTACGGAAGCTGCGGAGGATGACAGCAAGGCGGAGGAAGAGGCTCCATCGCAAGAGCAGGAAGCCAGTAGGGAAGAAGAAAAGGAGGACAGTAAAGAAGGTCAAGGTGAAAGCGCCGAGGGTCAAGTAGACGAAGAAGAGACGAAAGAAAATGAAGAGGGTAAGGAAGAGGACGCAGAAAAATCTGCAGAGGATGAAACGAAATCTGCAGAAGAGACGACTGGAGAAGAAACTAAATCTGAAGAAGAGAAGGAAGATAAGTCCGCTGAGGAGGAAGACAAATCTGCGGGTGAGGAAGGAAAGGAATCGGTAGAAGAGGCCAAATCTGAGGAAGAAGGAGCCGAGGAAACGAAATCTCGAGTTAGACGAGGTATTGACGAAGAGGGAGAAGATGCAGCTGAGGGTTCTGAAGAGGCAGCCGAGAGCGAGGAGGCGGAACCTACCCCCGAGGAAGACCTGATTCAGGAGATCGAGGTGCCGGAGAACCTACGACCAAGGGATCACATTAATCAACTGTTGAAACTGGACGAGGAGAACGAAGAGACGGAACGTGCCATTTCGAAGGTTGGCGAAGTTATACTGAAAGAACTGAAGAAGGTTTACGACAACGCTATACAGCCTTTGGAGTCTCTGTACAAATACAGGGACTTGAGCAATAGACACTTTGGTGGTAAGTACTGTTGGGATCTTAATGATAGAATAAGTCTTAGAAGGAGCAGCCACAGTGATCGTCGATTTCAATCAAACCTTTTCTGACGAATCTACAGCAAAAATTAGCAGACACGTATTCGAGCGTTTGTTCGGATATGCATTATTTATGAAGATATTTAATGTTAAAATTTCGTCAAATTGAAGGTTCATCATAAGTATGAAGAAATTGTGTAAAAAAAAATATCTTCATAAATAATGCATATTCGAACAAACGATCGGATACGTGTCTGCTCATTATTGCTTTAGATTCACCAGAAAAAGTTTGAATTAAATTGGCGACTGTGGCTTCTGTGTGGTGGAACACTTACAGGTTCAAACTGCCGGGAAACTTAATATTGTCCACATTGTGTCTGTAGATCCAGAAATATTCTCCAAGCCACTGGTTCTCTTTATGGGTCCATGGAGCGGTGGGAAGTCCTCCATCATAAACTACTTGCTCGACATCGAGTACAAGCAAACGTCTTTAAGGACAGGTGCGTAAGTAATTGGGGAACCGTAATTTTGTTTTGTGGTGAAGCCTCGCCCTGACTTCATTTGACGCTTAACTGAATCTCAGCCGGTTGTGATACCCCCCCCCCCTTGTAGTTCTCGTAGAAAGAAAACGCGTTAAAGACATTAGTGGTAGACGCATGGCTAGAGGAGCATGAATATACAGATAGTGTTTAGGTCGTTTGAGAGAGTGCTTAGAGGAGCAATGCAAAACGGGAAATGGAAATGACACAGGAGCCGAGCCGTCCCCGGCCTACTTCAACATTCTAATGCACGGGGAGGAAGAGGAGATCCTCGATGGCACCCAGTTAGCCGCCGACTGGACCTTCTCTGGACTGCAGAAATTCGGGCAGGGAATGCTTGATCGCCTCAAAGGTTTACGACTTGACAACAGCCTGTTGGAAAAAGTGAGTTAACAACCTTCTGATCGAGCGAATAGATATATAAAAAGAGATCACGATCTGGACGAACGTTTTTTGAATGAAACTATACGTATTAGAAACGTCTTCCTTGTACCTCGGTATATTGTGTCAAATAGACAATTAAACCCATAGTTCACTACTTGATACTTCTTGTGATGACCTTGAAGTGACCTTGAACCTGACATTGAAACGGAGAATAGAAACGATGATGGAAAAGGTCAATACCGAACGGTCATTTTGAGCTTGACTCGTTTCAAAAAGCGTAGATCTAGGTCGTAATCCATCACTCTGCGGAAGGGAATTCCGAAGTTACACCGTTTGAACGCTACCAGGTTAACATTGTCGAGATACCAGGGATCCTAGAGATACGAAAGCAGGTCCAACGTTTGTTCCCGTTCAATGATGCGTGCCAGTGGTTCATCGACCGGGCGGACATAATATTCCTGGTCTACGATCCGTCGAAGTTGGACGTCGGGCCCGAAACCGAGGCAATCCTCGACCAGTTGAAGGGAAGGGAGTACCAGGTAAGCATACGCCGGCAAAACAGACATGGTTGTGCGTCAACAGGTTGTGTAACACGAGCTTCCGAAACAGACACGCATCATTCTTAACAAAGCTGATCAAGTGAAACCGGAGGAACTGATGAGAGTGCAAGGCGCTCTGATCTGGAACATATCCCCGTTGATGTCCAGCGCTGAACGTTGTGGTCGATACCATACGAGGCCGGCGCACCGACCAGACTGCTGTATGCCCAGGAACGGGCGTTCCTACGCGATCTGCGTACTGCCATTGACAAACGTGTCGAGCACAAGATAGCGAGCGCCAGAAGATTCGCTGTAAGTTGTCCAAAATGAGAGAGCAAAATAATTCCTTGTTACAGGAACTTGGAATGTTTAAGATCAAATTCAATGGGGGTATAACATGACCTTCAGATGACCTTGTCACGCATTATACATTCGAGACACCCTGCATAACGAGGAAATATTTCGATGGTTCTAATGCAATCAGCGATTATAACACACCTGATCGCTTAACACATTCGGGACGGACATAATCCTTTTTCCGACCACATGGTCTAGAGAAAAGAATTTTTGTTCTTTTTATGTTCTTAGTATCAATATGTTATTATAAGTGTTTCAAAAGACATTTAAAATAATAGAAAATGTTTTTTAATCACAGTTAAGGGGAACTATAGCTCCCATCCGGCAGTGGGATTTGTCATTTAGGTAAATCGTAAATCCTTAATGTAAAACTACTTGCATCTAAAATATTTCAAAGCCCTGACGTAGTGCCACACTGTTCCTTCAGATGTTACTGATGTAGACAAATCCAACTGTGGTTATACAAGACTTATGAATCCCTTCCAGAATATCCTAAAGGCGGGAATTCGATTGAAACGGCCTGGTTACTGTAATTTCCAAGGTGGCCCCGAGATTGGCCCATGTTGAAAACTACAGTTCCCATCCGTACCAAATGTGTTAATCTTTGAAAACGTTGCGCCTGACACGTTGCAATTGCAGGTGCGAGTGCGCAATCACGCTAAAATGGTAGACTGTTATCTGACCACCTACTACAACCACAAGACGTTCTTCGGGAACAAGAAGGACATCAGCGACAAAATCATCGAGAATCCCCAAGACTATCACATCTACGAGGGGCTAAGCACATTGAAAAACATATCGCGCTACGATCTCCCTGATCCAGACGTCTATCGGGATTTCTTCCGACTGAACGCACTCTACGATTTCCCTCTGTTGAGCTCCACGTGCACCTATTTCCGTGGTTGTCCAATCAACAGACTCGACGTAGCCATCGCCTACGACCTACCCGAACTGGTAGGCAAATACAAGAAGTCGGTGGAACAGATCACACACGAGCACGAGGCGAGTCCTCCCAGTTGAGTGTAGTTCAACATTCTAAGCAGAGCTCTTGGTGCCGTACGACCTATGGCGGTGAGAGCAAATTGTACAAAAATAAAACAATGCGAACGAGCGAAAGGAGACGAACAATTAGCTGTTAAGTTCCATACTTGAGACCGTTGCAGAGAAACTTTTCTTCCCTGGAACAGGAAAACTTGTAGGGTTGGATCGCCCTTAGGGAAGCAAATCCAACTGGGTCCTTGAAGATAGGATCTGGTCGAAGAACTAAAATAGAGCTCCTGGAACACATCCTTGCGCGATCTACTAGACAATTCATTTTAAGGATGAGAAGAGATTGCAGTAGACAGGGTACGAAAGGTATGCTTGGTTGATCTTGTAAGTAAATATCACTGTATACTGGACCAGACGACCGAGTACATTGCTGAATTGAAAGATGATGGTTGATTAAGCTGCTACTGGTGGGTGGAAAACGATAAGAGTGCTACCATTCCGATCTAAAATGAACAGTGAGTTCCCCTTGAATGTGTTCACACAGCTTCGATTCATTTGGTTTTGGAAAACATATCACAACAATAGCGGGTCCTTACTAATATGTCGATGAAAAGATGATAAATAAAGATGAACTCGAGCTACAGACTGCTTTGAAACTTAGTGCAACAGTTGTGCCAACTATTATACCAACACTGTGACACTTCGGCCGTCGGGAAACCATCAGACGGAGAACGAATGTTTTTACATATTATCGATATGTAAAGTAAAGCACATAAAATATTTCCATTAAGAAAGAGATAAAGATGATCTCTTTTTGAGGCTTTTGTGAAATACCTTGTATAAAGGAATTGTGTTCTTATTAAAAGTTATAAAATATTTATTAAAAAAAAAAAAAAAGAATGCAGTACTTATAGTTACTCGATAACATGTTCCCACAATGATACACATGAACTACATTTTCAATGTAAATGAATATACCGTTTTGTTTTTAGTAAAAAAAAAAAAACGTTTGACTTTCTCACGTCACCTCGTGTAAATTAAACGCCTCGTGAAAGATACTTATCAGTTTGCATTGTGTTCTTGATGCTCACGCGTGTGATTGGCTTTTTGCGAGTATGCAAATCGTTGATATTATTACTTCAGTCTCTTATTATTGTCATCCGATACAGAAATATATTAAGTACGTTTAATACATTAAAATATTTACATCATTAGTGAATATAAGTTGTTGTTTTATGTAAATGTTACTTTATGTATTTAAGTTAAGTAGACTTAATTTATGTACTTTTCAAATAGGAATGTGTGTTGTGATTTTCATTTGTGTAAATGTGACATCTCGATCCCAAATACAAATTATTCACAAACAAAAAGATATAACATAATGCGTCCATTGAAGAGTAAAGACAAGAGCTGCTGATAATATCGAAACGAAACTAATATCAGTAATTTATATCAACAGTTATACTCTTGTATCTGATTCATACTATATTACAAAAAATAGAAGCAAATGAATAAGATAGTACTTACATTCGGTGTAACTTCGCGCAGCCATTCATCAGCCTGTTCATCGAAGTCGAATTTACAAGCGAGTCGCAAATCGTTAGCTGCCTCCTCGAACTTTCCAAGCAAATGATTGGCTCTTCCTCTGAATTTATGAGCTGCTGCACTATCTGGATTCAGCTCCAGAGCACGATCGCAATCGCGTATGCAAGCATTAGGCTTATTCATCAGCAAGTAAACTTGACCACGTTTCGCGTAAAGCAATGATGCTTGCGGATTCAGTAGAATGGCTTCTGTGTAGAATTGAACAGCTCTCTCATAATCCTTTTCTGCAAATGCTGATACAGCTTCTGAACGTTTAGCTTGGGATTCTGCAATTTCTTCCTCTGTTGGTTGCAGGGTAGGATTTCCCATTTTTTGTGGAACATCCGTGTCTGGCCCTGAAATTGATAATAATTAATTAATATAATTATTAATCAAACTATTAGTCTAGTAAAGAGCACAGTTGACAAATAAAATTTCAGACACAGATATTGAATTTACTTTTCATGCTTCAGTACTATTTTTATTACAATGGTTGCATGTTATAGGAAGCATTAAAGAAAAATTATATTTACCAATAACTCCAGTCATATCCAATTCTATGTCGCTCTCTTCACTTTCTGGTTCAGGCTGTGGTTCTGGTACCTTAGGTTCCTCTGGTTTTTTCTTTGGTGATGAATCTGCTTTTGCTTCTGGTATCTTTCCCCCAAAATGTTCAATAAATGACTTTATAAAAGAGAACTCTGGTTGGTGTAATATTGCAGGATTTGCAATGCACAAGTCGACAAATGTTTTCAGTTGAATGAGGTATTCTGGTTTTAATTCGGAAGACATCTTGCTACCTGTAAATTAGAATGACATTCATTTTATGTGAAATACCTTATAAATATTAAATAATTTAAAATTTCTGAAGTTTAGAAAATAATATTTTGTTGTATAAGATGACTATACTTTCTTCTTACAAAAATATACTAACAAGCATATAGCAAACTATATATTGAAGAATCTTTAAAAACTTTTGGCAAAAACAGCTTTTCTCTTTTATTTAATACGAATAAAATACAGATTTGATCACTTTATAGTATACCCAATCGTGTTTTATTTAGCGTAATCAACAGATTAATAAAGACCACTAAGGTTTGTACTTTATTCAGAACCAGATAGGACCTTTAACGGAATAAATACATTTTTGTCTGACTCTTAATTACTGTTAATTAGTTCATCAAATTCTATATTTGTATGAATATTCGTAATTTAATTATAGGAAACGATCTCATAGTTTTGAGTAGTAATATACATTGATGTGTTAAAAACCATCCATATGTTTTCCGATAATTTACTATATATTTTGGTCTTTTGCAGTATGAGAAAGAAAAACGATCCAGAACGTTAATAGTACCGGTAATGAATAATCGCGATAGACCAGAAAGTTTTACATATTTACCACAAGTTACGTAGATCTGGTATAAACGTCAATGAGGTGAACAAATTATTTTCTTGGAATTTTTCGTACTTTCTTTATCAGGGCGTATTTACGATATGCCGATTTAAGTTTTGAGAGCACAACAAATTGCGCAAGCAACTAATAACCATGCATATATAGGTACACACAGTGACGAACAAAATACTTATCCGTTTCAATACGCGGCAACTCGACAGTTAAAATTGGATAAAATCCGGAATGTGGACTCTCTTATATCGTCACATTCAATGGCATACACCATCGACTAGGTATAGAATAGATACATCATCCAATGCTTTTTCCTGTCCCACGTTCAGAGGATACGTAGCCCTCTTATGTAAATCTATTCCATACCTCGTTTGTAATTAGAGATGGCGTGCAAAATCACTAACGGTGATTTATCACAGTGATCGCCGAATCACGATCACGGTCGTGATTTAAATTCATTCACGACCGTGATTGCGATTATTTTATCTTGAGTGAATTTGCTCACTGCGATCGTAAGTCCTTGAGCTTTAAACGGAAAAGTATATATTTTTTCACTTAACTACAAGACATTTTATTCTAAATGCATCGTTAATGGACATTTTATTAATGTTACTTTTTAGATGTTCTTGTTTTATTCGTTTTTATATCTTGTCTTACATTTATATATTTGTAATAGGTAAATTCAGAATAGATGTAGTTTCATAAATAGTTTATCAAATCTACCTTTTGGCCGGCGGCTTACAATTTCCCTTGCGGGAATGCCTTACCGTAATGAGCCATCTCGTAGCCGTGGGATTCCGGGAATCGGGTGACGTCACGGCGTGCGAGCGAGAGCAGTATAACGAGCCGCAGTATCGGTGCTCTCCGTCGATGTGACGCGCGCCTAGGAATTTCGGCCGTCTATGGGGGAAGGTGTGCGAGCGAGAGAGTACGGTAGAGCGTGCCGAGTATCGGTGCTCTCCGTCGATCCAACGCGCTAGTGAGTTGCGTCACCCAGTTTATTGACTTAGCCGTGTACGCCGTGTACCAAGGTCGTACCATCCCGTGCAGGTCTGTGCTTGCTTCCTCACTTTGTCGTGAACCGT